GCCTGGCCCCTTTACACTTGAGGTGTATACGTTGCTGGTATAATGTCGTGCTAAAAGACTGAGGCTAAAGCTAGGTCTATAGCCTTACGTAAAAGACAGCATCCTCAACAGGAATAGTCCATGTAGAAGACATGGAAATTTACAATGTCCTTGTTTGGCAGTTTTAGTAAGTCCTAGTATTGTACGGTAAAAATGTAAGACCAGACCTGGTCGTATGAAAAAAAAATTTTATAGAACAAATAATTTATCAATTATTGAGAAAATGATCAGCAGATTAATCAATAATTAAAACAGTTGATAGTTGCTATCCTTATCCTAAATATGTATAAACGAATAATACATACCCAGTATAATACAGTTGACTCGATATCCTCCAGCTCCAAATCCCACCAAGAACTGGGATACTAAATATAAGTAGACATTGGGGCATAGTGCTGTCGTTACAATAAATACAAACATTATAACTGCTGGAATTTGAGTTGCTCGTCTGCGGCCAAACCTGCAACACAAAGAGAAAAACGAAATTATGATAGCATAGATAGATAGATCATATCAGTCAAGACCAGCTTATGTTATGATAAATACACTAAAAGAGTTGCTGGTTATGTGAGTGATAATTCAGAGAAAAACAGAAATAGCTATAACCATAAGCTCATAATAAACGCTCACATGCATCTAAACCAAAACTCTAAATGTATGTAGTGAACAGATACTTGGCAGTGTCAATGCACACTGGACATTATGTGTACAAAAACAAATCCATTCAGCCAGTATAACAATGCTACATTTTTAGGTATCTGTGTGTTTGTCACTGTCAGCTTTGTATGATGTAATTATTTTATCCCATCTATGTGTGCTCGGAGCCAACAGAAAGTCAGATGGCTCAGCCAGCGGAGGGAGATGCACATGATGGAGCCCTTGGTGGATTTTCCTGTGCAGAGTATACCTTCATAGAAATGAATGAGGTGCCATCTTTATGAGGTATCATATTTATGTATTTGTGTGTGGTTACATGTATATTTTCCTTCACATCATTGATACAATTCATTTGATCCCTCTCTATCCGAGTCAGATCAGACTTCAAGTTAGGGTTACGACTGAGCCTCTCATTCTATGCTAATTTAATGGTCTGCATCTAAAGAACGAGAGCTCCTGCTCAGCGTTGCAATACACACACTACAAGTGAGAGGAAAAACAGTATATACTGTATACTGTATATGATTGTATATGACAAATAAAGTTGATGCTTCTACTACTGGCATGTACGTTAAATTGTTGGAAAAGCTCATTTATGCAATACATTAATATGCTTTTTCTTAATCTTTCTCAACCTCCTTCAAAAGATAGATTGTCATTTGCTAAGTACTTTTATGTTGTGTCAAGCACCTGTAAGCCTTGTGGCACTTGTCAGGTGGAGCTTGAAGTGTAACAGATGCAGTTATGTGCATTATCATCAAGTCAGATCAAGCAAAGATAATGTAATGTAATAATATAATGTTTACCGTCAGTTGCAGCAGTCAGTGTACAGTATTTTTGTGTCGTTGTGTTTTCTTTGTTTTATGTTCAAAATGTCATCTTACCTGTCAGATATAGACAACTCAAATACCCCTAAATGGCTAACCTTGGAGCATACTTCCTGTGGACCCTCTTCCTTATCAGCTTTATTGTGCACTAAACTCCCACTAGTAAAAGCCCATCTCTTATTACACCTTTAACCCTGTTGTGGCATATTCAGTCAAAATCTGGAATCAGTTCAGGAGATCATTTGCTCTCAACAGCTTCTCCCTTTTTGCTCCGATAACGAAAAAAATCACATTTCCTCCTTCAATGTCGAATGGAGCCTTTGGTGTGTGGTTCAGGAGTGGGATACATTCATTACAGGATCTTTAAGTAGACAATAACTTTGCATCTTTTGAACAACTAGTACTATTAGATTTAATATCCCTAGATCCCACTTCTTTAGATATCTACAATTGCGAAATTTTATAGCCTCACATTCCAATTGCTTTCCCTTATGTCCCTCAGTATCTTTGTTAGACTCCATTTTCAAACTGGGGAAAAACTTAAAGCAGGTTATAGGTCAGCTATATGGCCTTCTCAATCTATTTAACTTGTCAACTTTAGATTATCTCAAACACAAATGGGAAGAGGATTTAAATGAACAGATTCCAGATGCAGTGTGGCAGAAAGTTATCAGGAGGATCCACACATCATCTATTTGTCAAAGACATACAGTTGTACAATTCACAATAGTGCACCAACTTCACTGGTCAAAGGTCAGGCTGTCCAAAATCAGACCAGAGTTAGACCCTACTTGTGATCGATGTAAGCAAGCTCCTGCAACTCTATTACACATGTTTTGGACTTGTCCAAGACTACACCACTTCTGTCCATTTTTAACAATCTCTCTAAAATATTATTGTAGCCAATAGGTCCATCCCCTCTTACTGCTCTATTTGGTGTCACTCCACAGGCTGTGAATTTAAGTAATTATAAGTCCAATGTGGTGGCCTTTTGTACACTACTGGCCAGACGACTGATTCTGTTCAGATGGAAAGACCTTCTTCCTCCTTCGTACTCGCACTGGACTAAAGAGACTATGCAATATCTGAAGCTATTGAAAATAAGATACTCTCGTCAAGGGTCTGTTTTGAAATTGCATGTAACCTGGCAGCCTTTTTTGACATTTTTAATACATGTGACCCTCTTATTTGTATTGTCACATATGTTCTTTCTGTCCCTGCTACATGACTTGCCTTATCAACAAGTACGCAAAATGACTGTATTTGATTTGGTGGTACAGGTCTGGTGGGTGGGGGTGGTGACTAGGCATAAGTTATTGTTTGTATTGTGTTTGTGTTCTGCATGTTGTGAAAATCTTGAATAAAAAGACCTTGTTCAAAAAAATGTCATCTTACCAGCAAGGGGTCATGTCTGCCAGTGAAGGTAGAATATAGGTGAAGAGTAAATGGAAGCTATTTGTAATGCGGTATGTTGATGTGGACACATTTTATGACATGTTGTAGTGTGTAGGCTATTCTGTAGTTATGTTACTGAGTGTACTGTTAGTAGTATATGTTATGAGTTATGAGTTGCAATAAGTAATTGCATTGCTGTATTTCTTCATCTTAAGTGTCTTCCTACTAGTATAGTCATATATATATATATATATATATATATATATATATATATATTTTTTTTTCCCTGTACATATGCACATTACTCTGCATTTTACTGCTTTTTGCACTTCTGGTTAGATGCTTAACTGCACTTCTTTGTCTTAGTACTTGTACTTTGTGCAATGACAATAAAGTCGAATCTAATTTAATCTGATGTTTAATTCTACTAAAGAGATGGAAGATGGAAACATAGTGTTCAGTGATAGACACAGACATGTTGGATTGCTGTCTTGCTGTACATTCTCTATTGTGATATTTCAGTACCAGTGTTAGGGGTAAGGCATTACAAAGTACACAAAGTAATGCCTTACTGTAATCAGATTACATTTGTCTGTAACGCAGTAATGTAACGCATTACTGTTGATAATGTCAGTAATCACGTTACAGTTACGAAACAAAAATGATCTCGTTACTTGCGCTTTTTTGGGAGGCCCGAAAACACAAATCAAACGTCCCTTTCTATGCCTGCTTACGCAATGCTCGTTTGACCCTATGGTTTGACCTCACTAACGTCACGTCACCTGACATGTAGACGTGACCATAGTGTGGACGCACAAACAAGCGAAAGACGAAGAAAAATTAGCTGTAAAGCCAGTTTGTTGAGTGAGCTACAGTGAGTTTGGCCTGTTGAATACAGTTCAAATTACATTTCATATTCAATGTTGTTTTCCTTTGAATTCTCATCATTATCTAATATTGTCATGAGGGCCAGAGACTTATTTTATTTACAGATATTATTTTGAACAAATTCATAATTGCACTAAATGGTTGAAACAACCCCCTTTAACTTATGTTGTATTGTAAAGAAATTAAGTTTGATGATGCATATCTAATGGCCTTTAAATAGAAAGACATTTATGATGATACAGGTTTCCAATGAAAATTTAAATGATACATTTTATTTTGAGACATTTTGCATACTGCTAGTACTGTAGCCTTTATCTGACACATTTTTCTGTGAAATGTTTCTTGAATTAAAGAGCATTAAAGAGATCGTGTGCATGTCCCCTTTTTATAATAAAGATTCATGCTGATTTAGGCATCTTATTTAATTTTATAGAGTTAATTGGCAATTAAGGTATGGTGCATCTCAGGTGATGTCATGGAGTAATCCAAAAGTAACGTAACTAGTAGTGTAACTAATTATTTTAAGCAGCGAGTAACAAAATCAGTAACTACCTGTTCAGTACAGTCTACGATGTTTGTTTCAGTTCTGTATATATTTAGCAAGAGAATTTTACATATTATTACACTTGATGTTGGCTTGATAAGCCATTATAAGTCAGTATACACCATTTGAGAAAAGTTTGTCCGTGCATCTTTCATTCAATAAATTCAATATATTCAGTAAGGCTTCTCCCTATGTGACTTGGATTGTTCTTAATTGTTTTTAGTTGCTTTGGACAAAAGTTGTAGCCAAATGAATAAATGTAAATATAAATGTAATAGAAAGTGTGTCATACTCTAAACAGGAAATTAATTGAATTGAATAGATTATAGTCACATATACACAGTCTAAAAATATTATCTAAAAATCCAACCTCAATTATTGAAAATTAAAGCAGCAAAAAAATATGAAAGCAAAGATATGATATCTTTGTGTGTACACAACATGTATTTGTAGCTCTTAATTATTACAGCTGCTTTTGGTCTGCTGGTATGATGCAAGTCAGTGGTTTCCAACCTTTTTGTCTTGTTGTCCCTTAAAATTAAGCAGTATCTACTTGTGACTATACGTCACAGGTTATGGACTTCAGTTATGTGCAGTTTAAAATTAAACAAGCAGTGATCACACCTGAGATTGTTTCATCTCAGTTATCTTTGGGGTGCAAATATCTTTATTTTGAAGGGAAAAAAGCTGCAAAATTCAAGATTAAAAAAAAGCCCCAACAACAACACAATTTTGTAAAACATATTTTTCCCCACAGATTTTTCCTGGGGTCCCACCTTCCAGGTTGGGAACACTGATGTATAGTAAGTGATGACTAATTAGGCATTTTTCAAAGAATAAACTATCAGACACATGTCTACAACTTGGTTGATTCCTGATATGGAAATCTTGCTCTTCTTGTGGCTGTAACATTTCTGAAAGACATATCAGTGACAAATATCAGTGAGATAATGTCTAATGATACATATAATGATGGAACATATTTGTCATAGTCACCTGTTGGTTTCTGCCTCATCAGCTGACTCAGGAAGTTCTTTTCTCCTGGTCTCAGGAAGCAGGAAGCCGAGAGCTCCACTGACCAGTGTAAGGATGCTGAAGACTATGGTGGGTATGACCCAGTGGTATGTGGCCAACATGTTGAGCAGTGGAGCCACTAATCCGCCTGCTCTTCCTGACATAGCTCCTAAAGCTGTGGCTGTTTGTCTGAAAGAGAGACATTACAATGGCTAACACTTCCAATGTAGGTCAAAAAGCACATTTGTTAACTGAGAACTGGTTAAAACAAACACTGAAAAATAGGTTCATATTTTGCATCTGATAAACCAGACACCTACCTAACAGATGTTGGAAACAACTCCTGCATAAAGACACCACATATGGAACCAGCCCAGATCAGAAAAAAACGTGCTGCAACAACTAAAGTTAAAATGGCAATGGCATAACCTGAAAACAGAACAAAGCGATTTGACTTGACAAACAGGACAAAAATATGAAATCGTAATTTTGCTGACCAAACCAAATGAAGTACCTTGGGGAACAGCTAGGATGAGTATGCAACAGAGTCCTCCAGTCAGAAGTGTTGACATTAATAATATCCTTCTTCCAAACACCTCCAACAACCACATGGAGAGTAAAATAGCTGGTATTTCAATAGCACCAAACAAGAGCTGTGTCATGAAGATGCTCAAGCCAAAGTTTCCCATATTCAAGTACAGGCAGTAGTAGGAAAGATTCAATGAAAACCTTAAAAAGAAGAATATAACATCCATTATATAATGTCCATGACACCAGTTTTTGAACAGTTGCCTAATTGTTCCAGGTTTGTGATTGGTGTTAGGTAGGTGACTGTGAGGCAGCAGGAGTAGGACCCAAATGCAGATAGTCGAGGCAGAGGAGCAGTTCAATGATTTAATGACCAGCTAAGTATGCAAATAAGCTTACAGGCAGAGACAATGAAACTGTGCTGGTAAGAAGAAGAAGTTTTTCATCCAGACGTAACGTAACAGTGAATGACTGAAATCATAACAGGTTGGTTCCCAGGACAGGCTGACATTTACTGAAAGGTAGGGTTAGCTTAATGATATTAAGTTAACTACTCTGTAGGGATATCAAAACATTAACATAAAACTCAAATTAGCTGACGCCTCATTAGGTATAACCAGCACTGCTGAGAAAAAGGTTTAACCCTAACTCTCTCTCTACATGGCTCTGGGTATATCACAGTCACTGACTTGTCGTTTAAACTCATGCATGCATAAATCTAAAACTGGGGGTCTGCAAATGCAGGGACTCTGGCTCTACAAGGCGATATGTTTCTCAGCTTTCTCAAGAACCGCTCATCCAAACTACAATACTTCACACTTAACACTGCACTTCCTTGGGTCCTCAGCAATAAACCCGCAAAATGTGAAGTTTATTGGATGAATGGTTTTTGAGAAAGTTGATTGACAGCAAGAGATTCTTTCTATTTTAGTTAATAAAATGCAATAAAGTGTAATGAATTTCTGCTACCATGGAATTAAATCATAGGTTATAATACTACTGTTCAGTATTAATACAGAACTGTAACCATTTCATGTCAAATATATCATACATTCTTTCATTAAATTATTAAAGATTTTGGACATTCAAACTTACCATGCCAGTAATACAATGAAGAAATATCTGGTGAGTAGAGGGGATCTGAAAATAATTTTTATGCCTCCTTGGTTCACAGTGTCTTTCACCGCAATCTGTGTCAGAAACATTATTTAATGCAACACAGAAAATTCCTGTATACTTTCCTTCCTAAATAAACGAATAATCAATTCAATATTTATCAAATTAAATAATAAGTTTATTATTTTAAAACTCCATTCTAACTCTGTTCTATAACATGTTTTTTTAAGATTTATTTGACCAGCATAGACATTTTATCTCATTGAACACACGGTGAAACAAATAAATAAAGGCCTTTTCAGGATAATGCAGTGAAATAAATAGCCTACAAAAAGATCCTCAGAGCTCATTGTACTAACATATACAACAAATTGTAATGGACTTTTAAAATGATGCTGCATTCACATTGATTCAGGCAGACAGCAGACGGACAACACCTTCTTGACGGCACAGGGGGGAAAAACATGGAAACGATGGTGACGTCGTATTGTCAACAAAGAATGGAATAAAATACATGAAATAAAATTATTGTGTGTCTATTATTTTTATTTATATTTTATATTTTATGTAATTATGCATGTAGTTATAAAATACAGCATTCTCTTAACATTCAATTGCAATTCAATTAAATTGAAAATTAATGTTAAATTCCCTTTGTTATCCCTCTGCTAACTTTGCTATCCGTGACAGCTTTAAGTTTCAGTACCTTTTCCAACAGAGAGTCTGGAACAGTGCGTTTGTTGACGGCTGCTGCCTTGACGATCAGCTGTTTAGCCTCTTCTGTCCTTCCTCTGCTTAACAACCATCTGGCTGACTCTGGAATAAACCTGATAGAAACCAGGAAAGATGAAATAGTCTATAGTATACAAAGTAAACAATAAAAGGCCATTAAAGAGTTAATGCCCACCATATGTAGATAACCACCACTGCAAGCGGAGAAGCTATGATTAGTTGAGCCAGTCTCCAGTCTCTGATGGCGTAGATCACACCAGCGAGGATGCACTGTCCAACTGCACCAAAAAGCTGAGTCACACATGCTCCCCATGATCGTTTGGACATCCCGATCCATTCAGTGGCTGCAAATAATGAAATATAAAATGTGTTGTACATTGCATTAAAATAGACAATCATGTAAAACAACAGTTGTAAAAGATTTAAGGTTCTGAATGTTTAGAACATAAAGTCCAAATAACTACCGTTTATCTACATTTTACTTCTATGGATCACTCTAAATATAAAACTTCTCTTCTCTCATAATATTGCAATCAGTTTGTCATTATATTACAATGCCTTTAATCAGTTGTGCTGCCTTTGTAGTCCAAAAGTATCTAATGAGACCTATGGCACAATCTGATATTTGCTAAGCCTGGCACCCCTTATGTACTGTTGCCACACAGTTTACAATGCTGAAGATTTACCACTGAAAAGTCTTTTTAAAGAAGAAGGATGAAAGATCTTTTATTTCAGAAAGAGTTAAAGCAGGTTTTTCATTTCTAGCCAGCTAATTAAGCGAATGTAGCGTGACTTGGTTTTAAAAGTTTGCACCTTTTAAAATGAGACTGTCAAAAGTATACTGTCAATCATGGTAAAGAGCATTTTTAAAAAGCAGATCGCTACATTCATGATATTGTGCTAAAAGACGGAGACTAAAGCTACATTCCCCAATTAAAAATCAGCATCTTCAACAGGAATGGTGACTGACAGAAACATGGAAGTTAAGTAACAGCATTGTTCTTGTATTGCAATTTTAGTTATTAGAAGCCTGAGCCATTAGTATTGCAGGGGAAAATATAAGACTTTTATTCTCTTGTTGTTAGCTTATATTTTAAAACAGTATCACTTAACATTACAAGAGAAGAGAACCAATGGGTTTGGCAAATGTAACGCTCATAAAGTCTGATAAGGAGCAGGTCATATATAGCTGCCCTAAACACTGATAGCATCCATGCTTTCACTTATGGATGTTTTTGTTTTTTTCCCTCCACAGATTCTGTAACCCCACAAACTAATGTAACCTTGCTAGTTAATGATGTCTGCTTGTAATGCTGCAGGCAGTGAGCTGATTACAACATGCTAACATAGCGGCTTACATTACAGCAGACACACACAGTTTAATCTATTCCCTACACTTCTGAGTTTGAATTTTAAGATGTCAACTTGCAACAGACATTTTTCACTATTCTATGGACCTAATTTATAATCAATTATTAAGAAAAATTGGCCAGATTAATTGATAATCAGTAGTTACTTCATTATACATACACAGTATAATACAGTTGACTCGATATCCTCCAGCTCCAAATCCCACCAAGAGCTGGGATACTAAATATAAGTAGACATTGGGGCATAGCGCTGTTGTTATAGTAAATATGAACATTATAATTGCTGGAATTTGAGTTGCTCGTCTGCGACCAAACCTGCAACAAAAAATAAAATAAAATGATGCAGTATAGATATATAGTATCAATCAAGAGCAGTTTCTGTTATGATAAATACACTGAATTTAAAAAGCTGCTGGTTATTTTAGTGATAATGAAGAGAAAGACAGAAATATTTATAACCATGAGCTCCATTTAATAAACGAGTCCATCTAAGTTATCAGTTAACTAAATCATAAATGTATGTACAGTAAATACATAACACTTAGCACACAGGCGGCACCAGGGCATCTGCTATGGGAAAGTTAAATTATTACAACTCTAAAATTAAAATTACAATCAAATTTAAAATTTCACTCTTAACACAAATTAACATTAATTTATCCTGAGCTCAATTTATTTTCACCAGTCAGAGATGTTTGTTTTATTATTGCTGTCATACATCTCAAATACACTTACGATTCAGCAAAAGGTCCAAATATCAGGGAACCAAAAAGAATACCGGCCAAGAGCACTGCTTGTATCACTTGAACCAAGTTAGCCCTGTCACAAACTAGATCAAACTATTAAAAAAATAAACAACTGTTAATTAAATGTTTCATGAAGGTTACTGAATATAAAAGGCTCGCTTGTATACATTCATTACTTACATCAGTGATGATGGTGGCTTCATACAGCATGTTATAGTACACCCATCCATTCTGGCACGCCGTGGTCTCATTGAGTCCGTACTCCCTGATGGCACCAATGTCCCAGTCCACAGGGACAAACATCTGACACCTGCTGAAGGTCCCATCGTCCTCCCGGGGCAGAGTCAGGTTCAGCTGCTCATCTGTGGTCAGGTTAGAGTCAGCCTGTAGGATCCAGTCTGTGTTACAGTGTCGCTCTGGATCTGACTGAATAAAAAGAAAACTTGCTAAAATAAAAGATTGACCAACATTGGGAAAGCAAAGTGCAATCAGAGTGAGCTGCTGGAATAACTCAAACTCTCCAATGCTCCTCAGGATCTCTCCAAAATCAGCCATGTTGATGTTACTTTGTGTTGCTTTACAGTGGAGTGCACCGCAGGTTTAACAATGTCCATTAATGTTTAACCCATATTATATTTTAGCACATAGATGACTGATTATCATTCCACTGGTGTTCAAGATTTTATTATTCCTTAAAGGCTCTTTTGTGTTTTAAAGAATGAGTTGCTTATCATGTGTCTTTTATTCTCACCTGGCATATACTCCAGAATGTTATCTTTATTTGAATCTGCCAGCACATCTTTAGTGGATTGTATAAGTATTATACATCCTCTAAAGTGATCAGATTTGTTCTGATTACAAACCACACGTACACATATATTCATTTTCATTTCATTTTCAACACATATAGTGGTTTTTCAAGTTTTAAGCCGACCTTTTAAAAGAAGGTTTTATTATTATATTGGTATTCAATCCTACACGAGTCACCTTTTACTTCAATAACAGCTTTAAAGGTCCAGTGTGTAACATTTAGGAGGATCTATTGACAGAAATGGAACATAATATTCATAGGTATGTTTTCATTAGTGTATAATCAAATGAAAATATGAATCGTTGTGACCTCAGAATGAGACATTTTTATCTACAGACACCGTGGAGTCGGCCATGTTGAACCTCCATGTTTCTGCAGCAGTCCAGAAGCGCCAAACACTGGCTCTAGAGAGGGTTACTGGTGTTTTCTGCATGTTTTACATCCATCGTAGTTTCTCCTTTGCAATTGGAAGGGAAGGGTGAAACAAGTTTCGATCTGCAATAACACCACTAGATGCCACTAAATCTTACACGCAGAACCAAGGTGGCTGTGAAACTCGCAAAAAACACTAACGCCCCTATCTAGAGCCAGTGTTTGGTTTGTCAATTCTGGGTTACTGTAGAAACATGGTGGACTCCATGAAAGGTGACCTGCGGCATCTGTAGATATATAAACAACTCATTCAAGCAAACAAAAACATAACCATTCCTAGATCCTCCTAAATGTTACACAATGGACCTTTAAGTATTTCTGGTAGTAAAAATATCACATTTACATTGAATACTAGTTTAATTTCAGATAAGACATGACTTGTCCTCCAGTTCTGGAAAATCCAGAAAAAAATTTCCTGGCCCATCTTTGATCTTTATAGTTATTATTTAATCCATACAATGTTGATTTACATTAGTACAGTAGGTTGGACTTTCAGAGTGTAGGCAGGATGTATGCAGTACATACTGATTGAGTATAGTCAGTATGTTAGAATTCAATTTTGAACACAGCCCATGATCTTTTCCTAAACCTCACCAAGTAGTTATTTGTGCCGTGGTGCTATGAAGACGAAAGTCAGCTTTGGAATAATGGGCAATCAGGAAAAATGGGCAGTCCTCTTCATCACTTTATTAAAATCCATGGCTCTGATGAGATCATTAGATGCTAATAGCTAATTCTGCACTCTGAACAGAAAAAAGTTTCCCAAAGCATTTATTAATTTTAGTTGTTGGATAAAATATTAAGTTGCTATTTAGCTAAGAAGCACGCTTAAACAAGCTAGCAAGCCAGGGGGCTCAACTGTGGCTACAGTAAATGATAGCAGATAACAAAAGGACAGCATTAACAACTGAACATTACAAGCTTCATAAAAGTATTACAGAATTGTTTTATTGAAAAGCCATGCGTACCTCATAAACTTACTCACTGTACTATGTATCCTATTAAAAGGTCTGGAAATAGACATTGGCTATGTAGGCCTCACTTTTACAGGCAGCCTCAAGTGGCCGTTCAAGGAACTGCAGTTTTTGTAACTTCCACGTTGGCATAATTTCAGCTTTGCTCAGTTGCTGCTTGTTTGAAACCACTGACAATAACTGACTGACACCCTCCAAACAGTGAAACCCCACAACAGTAAAAAAGAAATAAAACAAAGTTTTTAATAATCTATATGCAACACCCTATTCTGCAAACATTTTCACATTTAATAATTGCATAATACATAGTGAAGAGTGAAAATGTTTTTTAACTTAATACTTTTAGTATTGAAATGTGTTTTCCACGATACCAGAATTTGTTTAATTTTTCTGCATGAAGTAGTATATTTATTGGTTTATTTATATACACTGGACTTTTTAACTTAAAAAGGTCCAATGTATAGGATTTAGTGGCATCTAGTATGGTGAAGTTGTAGATTGCAACCAACTCATAACACCAATACTTTCCTCTCTCCTTCCAAGCAAGTGTGAGAACCTACGGTGGCTGTGTAGATAAAAACAGCTCAATCCAATCTAACAAACAATTCCTATTTCAGGTGCCTATACACTAATGAAAAAAAACCCTATGAATATTATATTCTACTAATAGATCCCTCTATATGTTACACACTGGACCTTTAAAGGTTTTAGCAGTAATATGGTCTAAACCACTTGCTTTGTTATCAGACAGCTTGTTTATAGCTTGGTACAACTCATGTGACATAATCACCATTTAATCATTATTCTCTATATTGTCCTCATTATACAAATCACTTTTGAATAAGGTACTATTATACTGCTGCCATTACTCAGCAGTATTGTTTGTTACAGAATTTCTATCTCAGTACACGTTAGAGATGTTTTACAGTTCACTTCTTTAAAGAAACCAGTAGCTTTGTTGTTTAGTAGTTGCCATGGAATCAGCCCTCATAGCCTGCTCATTAGAAAATAAGCAAATAGCATACTTATATCCAAGGTTGGGAGGGTCACTTTAGAAATTTAACCCAATACAATTACTAATAACCTATTAAAAAAAATACAGTCAGTAACCTAATCCAAGTATCACGATATTAAAGTGATGTAACTTGATTACTTTCCATTACTTTTGAATACCAAATATGTAAATAAAAGCAAGAGAAAAGAGATGTCAGTAAGAAGTATTGTAAGTGTATTCTATAAGAAAACAGAACAAGGTAACCTTTGAAAAGAAAATGGAAACAGAAACAATAGAAAGTAACAAGATTTTTAGCATCAAATGTGTCCTGCCTGCTTATATCTTGCATTAGTAAGCTCCTTGTTTTGGTCTACTTGCCATTGCCCATTATTTAAAGGCTTCTCCATGATACAACTACATGCTTGTTTCAACCAGGTCTGATGTTATATGTCTTATTTTTATGCTTGAAGTAGAGCTTACTGCCTTCATACAAAGCACCTACTACATCATTATACTGTAAATGGAGTATAGATGTCTCCTATGCTACACATCCTTACAATTAACACCACTACAAAATTTTTTATCTCTAAGTAGATTAATATTACTTAAGGATTTGTCTGTATGGGCATAATAGGCTAAGATGTCCACTTTTGTGACGGTTGACCAATTCTTCTGTGTTGAAAATGTTTCTATTTGTAGATAGTACAGGTCAATATTCAGCATTTATTCACATAGCACAATGAATATGATCTTCTGCCATACAGAAGGCTCATACACCCCAGTGAGGATGTGCAACATCTGTACTAATGAAGTAAACACAGGTGTTACCAGTGATACTAATTAAGGTCCAGTTCCATTCAGGTCAAACAGAGTCACGAACTATGACCCTGAAAATATGTAGAAACAGTTACTGCTGTTTGTGTGCTAATGTACATGTCGGCTCACTGGAAAGACTCTGCTACACTAACTGGAACGGATTGATTAGTATCATGGGTAACACCTGCGTTTACCCTACTATTTCATGTCAAAATAGCTGCTGTGAAAAAGGTCTATGGCCCTGCGATGACAGAGTCAGAAAAACATTAGGATTTATTCTGAAAACAATTCATATCTGTAGCAAATTTCATGCAAATGTGGCTCATAGTTTCTTGGACCAAAGTGGACAAACAGAATTACCATCATGAATATCAACAACAACAGGAAAGTTGGTATTCAGAGTTTGGTAGATTTGCTTTGTGCTGGCTCGTATGCCTCACTTTGGTTCTTCGGAGTTGTCTTATTTCTGTGAGAGAAAGGAATACACATTATTAGTTCAATTGGACTGTGTCACAATGTGTTATACTGTATATTACCTTTTCTATAATGTATTTTCTTATTTGTAATCTTTTTCTCAACAAATCTACAGGAACAAAATTAGTTCTGGTTAGCAGTTATTCATTGTGTAAATAGAAGAGAGTTCGTCTCAAAAATAAAACTGAATTTACAGTACCTACTTTGGACTGTTTAACTGATTCTGATGTCAATGGGGGATAACAATAGACTTCATACAGAACTGAAACATTTTCATATTATTTGTCATTTTAATTTCTTCATTTGAAATAATAAATCCTGTGTTCTCAAAACAAATACTACATTTATTTAAATAAAGTTTGCCTTTAGAAGGCAGACTTTTCTTTGAAGCATACACAACAAATTGATTTACAGACTTATTTAATTCATACACGGAGAAATAAATCTTGTGGACTTATAATGCACACTTCACTAACACTGACAGATGCATTGACTGCACAGGGTCACAGTAATGAAGGTGTTATCAAGAGACGCTGTCGGCGTGCAGCTTGCTTACCTGTTGCCCTCAGCCTCATCAGTTGAATCAGGAAGCTCTTTCCTCCTGGTCTCAGGAAGCAGGAAGCAGAGGGCTCCACTGATCAGTGTAAGGCTGCTGAAGACTATGGTGGGTATGGACCAGTGGTACATGGCCAACATGTTGAGCAACGGAGACAGCAGGCCACCAGCTCTGCTTGCAATGGACCCCAAACCAGAGGCTGTTTGTCTGAAGCGGAAACACACAGAGCTCAGACATGCACAGCTTGTTAAAGTATTTCTTCGTGCTCATTTTTTGTTTCTCAGTTAAAATGGGCAACATTCAAATGTAATTAAATCTCAAGCTTCAAACCTTTAGTTTCAATACGTTGACATGCAGTACAAATAATACAATAGTTAAATAGTGATTGTATTGCCTATAATCACTTCAAATATCAGACAAGCCAACTGTAAACATACACGTGTCCTTTAGTGGCATCACAACCAATCAGAGGCATGTACTATATTAGTATGTTTGATTTGTAATAGTAATGTTTGACCTATTCTTGTACTCACACCAACAACTGACTGACTAACACTATGGCTGGTGTAAACTGAAAAAGACTGCAATGGTAAATTGTATCATTCACTACAGTGAGATTGAGCAACTCAGCTTACCGAAAAGATGTTGGGAACAGCTCCTGAACATACACATTGCATATGGATCCCGCCCAGTTTATGAAAAAACGTCCTGAGGTTACTAACGTGGTCACAGCAACAGCATTACCTTGAACAGAATAACACAGTCAGATCTATGATGACATATAGTCTACAGCCCCGCTGTGAGGATGTTCTTAGGATGAGGCAATCCAATATTTGTAGAGATTTCACTGAGGACCAAAGAGGTGGAATAACCAATTGACTGACCGACCAGGGGTGCAATCGCTACTGCCCTGCCAGCACACAAAGATCTTTAAAAAACCTAAGGTATGCACTTAGATACAGTTTGAGTTAATGCTATTGACAGTATAGAAGCATGCTCACAATGACAATGTTAACTATGGAACCCCAAAATGTTCGATGTTACATTATGAAATAATTTATTTAGGAGTTTATATAATTCATCCTTTCAAATTACATTAAGGCTTAAAGTTATGCATAATTAAGGTCATGGCTGCTTTGCGTGACAAACGGGTGCCTTCACATTCGACTGTTGTCAGTAACCAGGTATTCATCCCAATTTAGCTCCACCCACTTCCTCTTTGCCTATTTTTGGATCAGGACTGCCAAGATGGTGCACCCATAGCAAGAAAGGTGACATTATGAAAAGAGGCATTGAAATTATATAAATATATATATTCACACATTACCTTGAGGAACAGCGAGGATTAATATGCACAGGAATCCTCCAAACAGAAGTGTCGACATCAGTGAAACTTTTCTCCCCAGTGCTTCTAACAGCCAGATGCAAAGTATGTGAGCTGGTAGTTCAGTCAGACCAAACATGAGTTGAGTCAGGAAGATGTCCAATCCAAAATTACCCACATTGAATGAAAGGCAGTAGTAAGCAACATTCAATGAGAACCTGAGAATTTCACAAAAGAAACCAACTATTAGTCAAAGAAAAATACCATCGTTTTAAATTGTTAAATTGTTTTTTTACTTCAGCATCTCAGTGCATTGACTCAGTTTTTATGTGCATCAATAAACGTAACTTACCATGCCAATATTATGGTTAAGAAATACTTCCTAAGCACAGATGATTGGATAAGAATTATTATGCCTCCCTTTTTCTCAGTTTCTTTCTCAACAATCTGTAATGCACAGGGGGGTGGACACAATATCATGCTAACGTTTGTCATCAAACAGTATTCAGTTTTTTGTTCACACTGTGTCACAGAGGTGATGGACTATATATTGTGAACTCTTCATTACCAGTGAGCCGTTCTGTTATTTGGTGCTAAATAACTTACTGCAGTCCAGTATTGATTGTCGTGTTTGCAAGCCATCTCTCTGACACAGTCTACTGTAAGTAGTAATAGTTTTTCACTATAATTATAGACCATGCATTTTGCTATGATCACTATATGTAATATTCCAATAAGTCTTGATACAATGGCAAGAAAAGAGTGTTTTGTGAAGGGTACGTACCTTCTCCAGTAGAGAGTCTGGAACAGTGCGTTTGTTGATGGCTGCCACTTTGGCAATCAGCTGTTTAGCCTCTTCTGTCCTTCCTCTTTCCAACAACCACCTGGCTGACTCTGGAATAAACCTGTCAGAAACAAGGACAGCGGCACTTATTAATAACCTGTAATTTACCTGTAAAACACTAGAGGGCAATAAAAAAGAGGTAATGCGCACCATATGTAAATAGCAATCACTGCAAATGGCACTGCTGTGATTAGTTGAGCCAGTCTCCAGTCTCTGATGAAGTAGATCATACCAGCGAGGACGCACTGTCCAACTGCACCAAATAGCTGAGTCACACATGCCCCCCATGATCTTTTTGACACCCCGATCCATTCAGTGGCTAGAAACAGGAAAATCAATGAGTTAACTCTGAGTTCATCACTCCAATATCCCTACTCCTGACAAGAATTATGGAGACCCAGAACTGACCAAATTAAGTAAAAGTCTGACAACAAAAAAAAATAGAAATAGCAAATAGAATTGCTTTATATTTCTCCTTTAGCCTATAATCAGTTAAAGTGTGTAATACTTTTTTCATTAGTGTATGATTATACACTACAAAAACAAAAACAAAAACGGAATTCTTAATTTCAGGTGATTACCTCAAAATAAGAATTGCATTTTTGTTACCTTAATATGAGCTAGTTTTTTGTTTTGTTTTTCATTCCTCCAAAATTATTTTTTGGCATTTTATACCTTTATTAGACAGTGACAGTGACGAGGCAGACAGGGAATGGGGGAAAGAGAGAGGGCTATGACATGCAACAAAGTCATGACATGACATGTGGCGCTCCGAATGAGACGTTATTTTATCTGCAGAGGGAGCGGGTCCTCTGCCACAGAGGCTGCCATGTTGAACCGCCATGTTCCTATGGTAGCTCTGAACAGAAAAACCAAACACTGGCCTGGAGTACTACTACTACTGGAGTAGTTTCTCCTACAAACTTGGAAGGCAGAGCTGTATTCAAATTGTTGCAATCTGAAACTTTACCACTAGATGCCACTGAATCCTACACACCAGTCCTTTTACTAAATTTTGTCAGTTTTGGGGCTCCATAAAGAATCCCTCTGTTGTAAGTATATTTAGGTTCTTTATTAAATTATCTTTCTGTGGTCATACTGGGATTAAGACAGCAGCTTGTAACTTTGCTTTATAAATTAAGAATTAAATACATGTCTTAACCAAAAAAAGAGTATACTTAACCCAATATGACGCCGTTCAGTCGATAACCTCCATAACCTATTCCCACCATGAACTGGGATGCCAAATATAAATAGAAGTTGGGACACAGTCCAGTTGTTACAGTAAATATGAGCATTACAATGACTGGAATCTGAGCTGCTCGTTTACGACCAAACCTGGAACAGATAAAACCCCTCTGGTAAGCAAATATGATGCAGTCTTCTGGTTGTTTATGTGTGCAAGTGTGTGATGGACTTCTATTGAACAAGATGACACTTATTTCAAGTACACTTACGATTCAGCAAAAGGTCCAAATAAGAGACAACCAACAAGAATGCCAGCCATCAACACTGTTTGTGCCACTTCCAACAAGTTACTCTGGTCACAAACTAGATCGAACTGAAAATAAATTAAACCAGATGGTTAAGAAAGGAGAATATGAAAGTAATTTAATATTGTATTATGAATGGCCATGAGACAGAACACTTACATCAGTGACGATGGTGGCTTCATACAGCATGTTATAGTACACCCATCCATTCTGGCACCCCGTGGTCTCATTGAGTCCGTACTCCCTGATGGCACCAATGTCCCAGTCCACAGGGACAAACATCTGACACCTGCTGAAGGTCCCATCGTCCTTCTGGGGCAAAGTCAGGTTCAGCTGCTCATCTGTGGTCAGGTTAGAGTCAGCCTGTAGGATCCAGTGTGTGTTACAGTGTCGCTCTGGATCTGACTGGATAAAAAACACACTGGCAAAGTGAAAAGGCAGAATAACATTTGGAAAGCAAAGAGCAAAAAGGGTGATCTTCTGAAATAATCCAAACTCTCCGATGTTCCGGAGGATCTCTCCAAAATCAGCCATGTTCAGGGAGCTGACTTTCAGTTTAAAGATGTGGCCAGAGGATGACCTTTAAACAATGTCTATTAATGTTTAAACCCTGGACTGTATTTTCAAGAAGGAAGAGACAGCATTTAGATAGAAAGGCCAGTCTTGTGATTATTTAACCAGATATATCACTCCTGTAACTTTCTCTGTCACTGTGACACGTTCATACAATGTGCTTTCGTCATTGGCCTGAGGCCAAGAGTTGCCTCAGTATTCATTGATCAACACCTTTCACCAACTTATTTTTTTTTTAATGGTCATAATGGAATAACTTTTAGTGTGCTTTAACGAAGTACAGTGTGCTGTTTCCAGCACAGCTACTGTACATAATAATATAGGCAGTGAACTTTTGTTATCTCTCACAGAAAGTTCTGTTTTCTCTTTCACCAACTTTTACTATATGCTGACTTAGCTTTTCTTCCAGTGTTCTTACATGAAAGATAAATCTGTTATATAATATGAAGCATATCGTAACTTTAGTCAAGTGGTTAGTGTTACTGTGTGCTGTAAAGGAAATTAAAACAGACCTACTATTCTTGGAACTGCAGAGGTCTTACAAGTATAAAAAATGCTTTTTGACGTATTTTAAGTTTTTTATGAGTTCTGTCTGTTTTGACTCGCCCCTGGATTCTGCATTGTCTCTGACACAGCGAAACTTGTCAGACTGAAGAAGTCATGCACATTTTTATATGATTAAGCAAAGACTGTTTGTCTTATGTGGAGACCACATTATTATCACTCAGTGCTCAAAAGAAACCAAAACATCAAACTACAACTTACCTGCAGCTTTCTATGCCTTTGATAAATCATTATCACAAGTATCAACAATTAAATCAGAATTTGAATGTGTGTAATGTACATGGACTGACCCCTTGATGCGTATTTGCATGCTCCTCAGACCCTCTGCTTACAGTTGCAGTACTGTATTCTTATTGCCCATGCAGCTTCTGTTGCAACTCTATACAACAGTGTTTCCCAACTTGGGGGTCAAAAAAGATGATTACCACCATAACCACAAAGTTGTTCATTTCTTTGGACTTTCCTCTAAACTTTTGTTATGTGAAATACAAGAGAGTTAGCTCTAGGCCTTTTTGAAATACAGAGATAAGAGTCTGTCTTCACAGTTGAAGTGCTCACATACATACACCCTGTGACAAAGGGTCAGTTCATTATAAAGTAATACCAGCTTGTTTTCAGACTGATAAGAAGTTGTTAAAGGGCAGCTGGAGATCACAACTCATATCTTTAAATATTTTGCAAGAGATTTGTTAGACCTTTTCACAAGCAAGTCAGAAGCCTACACTCTATAAATGTTTTATATTTCCCACAGAAACAATGACAGCAGTAAAGACATACAACAGAGTCAGACACAGTACATGAGCAAACACACTGGGTGACTCAGCAACATTGAAGGCACTCGGCTGTCCAAATTAAAATATTCTACTCAACAAAATATAGTTTGTGTTACCCACAACAGAAATGTGTAAAAATACAGTATTCAGACTAGAGTTTGGTGGATTTGCTGCTGTTGTGTTCAGCCATTTTAAAGTCACTTCCAGTCTTCTTGGTGGTCATATTCCTATAATGACAAGGAACACAACATTTAGATTATTTAATTCTGACCTTTAACCATTATCTATTTGACTTACAGTAAAACAAAAAAATCTTAATCAATAATAGTGTGTTCATGTAGTTTCAGTATAAAAGAATATTACAAATTATTAAAATTACAAATACAAAATCTTACATAGTGTTGCTTTAATGTAATGCTTATAATGGACCGACATTAGAGTGGTATCCATCTTCTTATATAACTCTTGGCAAGAAAGCAAATTAGTGTTTTTCCCAAAATGTTGAACCTTTGGAGTGTCCAGAAGTATCCTAAAGTTGTTGTTATATGAACATGAGTTAAAATCATCAGATTTACAGTTCACCTTAATCACTTTTATAGCTAATAAATCTAGCTCTAATAGCTATAGCTAATATTTGTGCTGTTCACAAGTTTTCACATTAGAACCAATTTGGGTCAGGGTAAATCCGCAGACAGCCGGCATGACATTGATCTACTACAGAAATAAACTAAGAAAATAAATAGCGCAGATGGAGGCCCCTGGTTGGCCTGTAACTGTTCCCTGGTTGCCACAGTTCCTCAGTAGATCATGCAGCCTGCTTACCTGTTGCCCTCAGCCTCATTAGTTGAGTCAGGAAGCTCTTTTCTGCAGGTCTCAGGAAGGAGGAAGACAAGAGCTCCGCTGACCACCACAAGGCTGCTGAAGACGATGATGGGTATGGACCAGTGGTATATGGCCAGCATGTTGAGCAACGGAGACAGCAGGCTTGCTATTCTAAAGGCTATGGAGCCCAAGCCAACAGCTGTTTGCCTGAGAGTGGAGTTCAAATACATTCAGTGCATATGTGGAATATCTATAATTATATATGTTGTATACTTTTATTTTGCATACCTGACGGAGGTGGGAAACAACTCCTGAATGTAGACCAAACATATTGACCCGGCCCAGTTCAAAAAGAACTTTCCAGTGGTTACAAGGGCTGTGATAACCACAGCACTGTCTGGAATTCAAATTAAAATGTTCAAAGTACGGTATATTAAACTTGTGACGGTCAGATGGATTCGTGATCATATACTGAATGTGACAGACAGGAAATTCACCTTGAGGGAAAGCCAGGGTTAAGAGGCAAACAAAACCGCCAGTCAGGAGGGTCGATATCAGGGATTTTTTTCTCCCTGTCAACTCCAGAACCCAGATACAGAGGAGATGTGCAGGTATCTCCGAGATCCCAAACAGGAACTGAACCAGGAAGATGTTCAGACCAAACTTGCCCACATTCAGAACAAGGCAGAAGTAGCCTAGATTTAATGAAAACCTTCAAACCACAAAAACGCAAACATGATACAAAAATTATTAATTAAATCAAATTAAAAACTACTTTTCGAAATGGGCTTAACTCACCAGGCAAAAGATATAATGACGAAATATTTGATCAGGACTGTTGAGGTAAAAAGTGCTTTGATTCCTCCTCTTTGGACTTCTCGCTCCCCAGTTACCTGAAGGGCAAGAGTATTATTATTATAATACAGAGGACAAACATGGCTGCTGGTGGCAATTTTACAGTTGATAGTGACTAACTCTATTACTAGACAGCCATTAGATTTAATCTGAAGGGTTAAGATCTACAAAAACCATTCGTGTCTTGCCCCCACAGCCCAGATATCAGTCAGATGAACTCAAGGACCCCTTCATCGACACCCGTCATGTTCCGAATGTGATCACTTGAATTGATTTTAAACTGGATGTTAGTTAACACAATCAATTCAATCAACCATTTTATTTCTGCCACCACTTTGTGAAGCAGAAGCTGCACATTTAAGCCATGTATCCATGACCTTTAGCCAACTATTTCACATTTAGGCCAATCCAATATATTTGGATATTTCAACCATTTATTCATATACGGATAAAATAAATAAATGAACTTTTATAACTAATTATAATTATAATAATAATAATATATAATAATAATAATAATAATAATAATAATAATAATAAAAAATTATTATAATATTTATCTGTATCTATTAGTGAACTATTTTAACTTTTTAATCTCTTTCTTTTAAAATTAAGAGGGGGATAATGGGCATGAGCACTAATCTGCTTACTCACTATAAATCCTACTGGCATGCCTTGGAATTTTACACACACATGAAATAAGTTTGATCTTGTGACACATTTTTAATTTGTCCAATACTCTGGTTTATGACTAAATTCATTCTAAACTAATGCCATTTTCCATCAGCCTAGTTAGCAAATGTTAGCGGACTAAAAAGATAAACTAAGATGGTAAACATGGTAAATGTTATACCAGGTAAAAATCAACGCGCTAACATTTTTTTATGGTGAGTATGTTAGCAGGTTGATGTTGGCATTCAGCTCAAAGCACCACTGTGCCTCAGTACTGCCTGTAGACTAGCGTTAAGTCCTGTTCTTCAATGGATCATTAAAGTCTAATTTGATCTAATGTTATTAAAACAGAATCTGACCTCATCCAGTAGAGTCTCTGGGATTTTCTTTTTATTGATTGCTGCAACTCTACGTATCAACCTCTTCGCTTCTTCGGTTCTTCCCTGCCCAAGCAACCACCTTGCAGATTCAGGAATCCACCTGAAAAGATGAGTCACAATCCAAATGTCAGTCACTCACAAACTGTCTTTAGTTTGCCAGTTGGGTTTTGCATTATTTCATGATGTGAAGTGACTAAACTGGATTTGGCCAGGTAGATATGACCAGCAAGTGTGTTAATGTAAACATACAGCACTGTGAATAAATAAATAAAAATCGTATATACAATACATACCATATGTACAAGCATACAACGGCCTGCATTCCTGCTGTGACATACTGTGCTATCCTCCAGTCACGAATAAAATAGACCAGACCAGCCATGGCACACTGTCCAACAGCTCCAAACTCCTGGCTCAAACAGGAGGCAAAGGACCTTTTGGTGACCCCAGTCCACTCTGTAGCTACAAACACATATTTAAATCACCTAAATCACTGCAGATTTCTGGGATAAATCAAAGAAATCTTGCTTTGATACATAGAATTCATACCTAATACAATGGAGTTAATTCTGTATCCTCCAAGTGCTGCTCCAACCATGAACTGTGACACCATGTAAACATAAAAATGTGAAGACAAGCCGGCAATTGTGAGAAATATCAGCAAAAGGACAACTGGTAACTGGGTGGTTCTCCTGCGGCCGTACCTGAAGTTTAGAGAGTGAGTGATCGTCACATGAAGGGTTTGAAGCACATGACTTTTTCAACCTTTTCAAGTCACTTACGATTCAGCTATAGGTCCAAAGATGAATGAACCAGCGAGTGAACCAGCCAGGAAGACAGTCTGCACAACTTCAACCATGTTAGACTTGTCACAGACGAGATCAAACTGAAAAACAACACTATCGAAATCAGTAGGACAGTCAGCACAGGTGACACCAAAGATGATCACACATCCTACTCGGCTTACATCAGTGACGATGGTGGCTTCATACAGCATGTTATAGTACACCCATCCATTCTGGCACCCTGTGGTCTCATTGAGTCCGTACTCCCTGATGGCACCAATGTCCCAGTCCACAGGGACAAACATCTGACACCTGCTGAAGGTCCCATCGTCCTCCCGGGGCAGAGTCAGGTTCAGCTGCTCATCTGTGGTCAGGTTAGAGTCAGCCTGTAGGATCCAGTCTGTGTTACAGTGTCGCTCTGGATCTGACTGGATAAAAAGAAAACTACAGAAGAAAACAGGCATAATGAAATTTGGGAAGGCTAACCCCAAAGTGAGAAGTTTCTGGAAGAAACCAAAGTCTCCAGCAGTTTTCAGAATCTCTCCAAAAGCCACCATTTCCACAGTAGATGTGTGAAATAAACTCAGGTAGGCAGTCTTATTTAGTTTCAGGTGATGGTCAAAATAAATGTTTAACCATCTGACTTTAGTCAGTAACTAAATGTGTGTTGGGCACATGTTCCAGGTCCACATGTAATCCTTGTTTAGAAATGGCTGACCTGTTAAAGCAAATAATAATGAAAACTGGTCTTTAAAACATCAACATTGTCCTCACTCATTTAATTGCATCATGTGACTTTATTCAGCTACTAAAAATCATCTGCATGTGTTGACATTTTCCAGTAACCTATATGTCAAGGAATCTCTTTTGTATGTTATCACAAATATTCCACTTCAAATTATGTATTTGTTGACATACACATTTTTATAATAAATCATATTTTAAAAATATATGTAATGATCTGTAATAAAAAAAGAAAAAGGTACTTGCCAATCAAATTATTAAATTAATGCTAATCATTCAGTGACCCCATAAAGAGGCAGAATGTTTTTTTTTAATGAGTAAACAATAAAAGGGAAAAATTTAGAAAATCTAAATGACATTGAGCTCAGAGCCTTTGATGATCAATCATTTTATCACCAAAATCTCACACATACACACGCACACAGGGAGAGAGGTGCCATCTGTCTTAATAAAATGACATTTGATCCATTAACCTTGGACAGGTGTCAGTGAGAAAAAAAATGCATGTCATGACATCCAAGCACTGTGTGTGATTATAAGTCCCATGTAATTCCAGAAATATGCATGTTAACAGATCAATAAGGTGCCAATTGAACAAATAGTTTGTGCATGATTAGTGACGCTGTGACAAAGGCCAACAGTGGGAAACACTACAAAACAAATAAAACACTAACGAATATGATGAGCCTCAATCTGTTTGCCTTAATATTTACAAGTAAAATGTTCCTTTTATCTGACATGTACACTTAAAGTCAATGCATCGACATCATTACATACAAACCTGATGATGTTTGTGTGACAGTGCATGGAGTTGCCATCATACGTACATTTACAACATCTTAACATACACCATTTACATCAGTACCTGAACTAGGAGCTATTTCACAGCCCTTTGCACGGGGTACAAAACAACCATACAGCTACACTGGGAGTGATGACAGTGATTCGTTGGTGAGTGTTTAGAAAGCAAACAGACTACAGTACTGTCAAAACAATTTGCCTAGTGACAAAGAAAACTAAAACTAACTGGCCTCTGGAGAAGTTTAAAGGGTTACTTCACCCGAAATATTAAAGATTTTAAAGCAACCCATACAATAGTGTATTTATTTCAGTCTGGGTTAAAGGCGTGGACCATTTACCTCCATTGCATTACTGGAGGCAGAAACCACCTCAAAACCAACTAATTCAATCAAAACTATCTGCCTGGCTAAATACCACACAATCTATTTATTTGTTATTTTTTAATTTGGATGAACTGCCCCTTTGAAACTTTATTTCAATTAGGTAGAACATTTTCAGTTTTTGAGCGTGCACACCTCTCCACAGAAGTCCATCAGCACTCAGCCTGTAACACAAGCAGCCCCAGGTTCGACAACCATAGCCAGCATTCAGGATTCATCCCAGCTGTTCGATCAGTAACGGTAAACAGGCTAAGTTAGCTCTGACAAGGGTACATAGAAGACAGCAATGACCCGTGTCTGTCTGTTGGCATTCACTTTGTTGACTGCTTGTGAAAATGTAAGTTCTCACTGCGGGTTCTTTAAGCTGCCTGTCTGGCTGGCTGACTTCATGAACTCCCCGTGAGGTACAAACACAAAAAGTGCTTTTATTCAACCAAAGAGAAATATTATCAGCAACCAGTGGTCACATAAGGTGAAAAGAATATACCTATTGCATAGAACAAGAATCTGAAAATAATCCCGTCTTTGAATACCTCGAGAAATCACCATCTGACAAAGTGTTGTAACTGCAGTTATGGGACAGATGAGTTGCAGTTGATTTGTGTGGATTTGAATGGTTTCAGCAGTGCAGTCAGAGATCAAACTCTTTGGTTCTGTTTTGACAAAACCACCACACGCCTTGGGCTGCCTTATACAGGAATCTGCTAGTTTTCTTACATTTTAAGTAAAAATCCATCTGAATTTACAGAATTACAAAACTAAAACTATGCTACAGTGTGTTTATAAGTTATCTGTTATGGGAGATTTGCTTAAATTTCTTGTATAGGTGTACACAGAATACACCTAATAATCACAAATAGACTCAATTTTTCACCAAAGCACTGGTAAAATCTATAGTTTGACTAAGGCTGAATTTACACTTTTCAATTTCAGTGTAGCATAAAGTGCCATATAATGGTGGCATGACACTCATGAGTTTAGTGGCACAGTTGATTTTTAAAAAAAGAAATAAAATAAAAAAGGCAATCACTTCCAGTACTGGCAGGAGATGGTTTGGATTGTGCTTATGTATGAAGAGGAAGAAAAAAAGAAAAAGAAATAAGGAGTTGATATAGTTGATTGCATCTCTTCTCCCATTTACTGTATAAGCGCACTGTAAACGTTTCAAGTGTGATTCCTGTGATGAACTGAGCCTCTTCTCAATGTGGTCCTCATGCATCCTGCAGTAGTGTCACACTCCTGCCAGCCTCGCGTTTCCTCTTCCTCATAATCTTCCTCTTCCTCCTCTCTTTGGCAGTAGTGGTTTCTTGGAATTGACTACAATGCAGCTGTGCAATACCATTAGTTTCTGTCCTTTGTTGCTGGCTTTACTTGACTTAACTGATGCTGAGCTGCGCAAATCCAATGAGTTTAACATCATCAGGGATTTCAGACTCCTCCACGCCGGACGCCTGGGAGAGAGAAAACAACATCATAAACTGCACTGGCCATCTTTAAATATATAACAATAACTAATCATATAAAACCTGTAAAATATATACATCAGTGGAAGAAATTTATTTTGTGTACTTACCAATTTAAAAGTCACATTTTTGTTACTGTGAGGATCATCAACAATTTTTTGCAAATTGGCAGCAACTAGACAGGAGACAAAAGGAAGTAAGAGGTCCGTGTCAGATGACCAGCTAATTTAAGAACTGATGTCAAGACTTTTCCATCATGATCGGTAGCAGGAAATAACTGGTTTTAGAACTGCATGCTCACAGTAAAAACATAAACCTGCTGTGTTGGAGTCATAATGTACCAATGGGTTTCCACACTTTAGCACATTTACAATAAAGCACATATAGTTAACATCTTTTTCCAAAATATTTTAGAATTCTTAAATACACTTTGTCTTGTTTATAATTATTTCAGTATAGCATTAATTGTTAATTTGCATAAGCATTTTGTTTACTGGATGGATTACCTATTTCAAATGAACTGACCTATCTGTGCACCAGAGATTACGTCCCATCATAAAGAACTCTATCGCTTACTTACCAATTACTAAGTCCCTCCCATCAACTAGACCTGCTGAGACCAACTCTTGAGAAACTCCATCAGCAGAATCTGTGAACAGACAGGCGAGAAAAAAACCAAATAGTTAGACTTGAGGCTGGATTCTTTTAGAATGAGACAAAAGAGAAAAAGCTAGCTGATGGGTCCCAACCTCTGCCAGACATGAACTCAAATCGGATGTCATTGAGTTCCTTCTTGGGATTCCTCAGTCTCAGGACGAGGCTGATGGGAACACTGGCATTGGCTGCAGCTGGGTCCTGCAACAGCAGAACAGTAGAGTTATTACCGCACAGCAACTGTGTATAACTTCAGCTTTTTCAACACTAGGCCTGAGGTTCTGGTTCATTATGTTTCTCATAATCTAGGCCCTAAACTACGGATTTGATTCAAGTCAATTCTATTCTATTCTATTCAGGAGGAGCAACACAGGACGGATCCCTCTCCCTGATATATAAGCATGTGTTTACCTGAGCAGTAGGTGCATGTAAAGGGCTCGCTGTTTGAGTGGGAGCCTGCAGTGGAGCGTCCTCTCCTGCCTGGCTCACATTCGCAGGGCTCTCGTGTGCTGCGCCAGGTGGCTGCAGATGTCCTGTGGAGCCATCGGCTGGTGGAAAGAGCTAATAGACACGAATATGCAGATAAAAATCAGCAGGTGTTTAGAGTTTTACAAGAATGGAAAAACAGAGGACACACATAGGACAGTCATGCAGATTGCTCTGTTAAGGCATTATAATAAATCAAGATGTTCATGTCATGTCCACTATAGATGGACTCACCTCCAAATTCTGGGACCCGTCCTTCACTCTGGGTGACTGCAGAATGGACATGACAGATTGTCAGGATTAAAAACATGCAATTCTCCTTTTATTCCCCCCAATGTATGGAATGATGTATTGTAAGATTAAAGGAATTTGACACAGGGTGACTTTAAACACAGGGCTTAACTGAAATCACAGTTAAGATAACAGACAGTAAAATCCCACACCAAGACATAAATTGAGTGTGAACACACATTGGACAGAATAAACAGGTGATCTGAGCAGCTGTCTGTTCCTGAGAAAACCGATTATCTACAATTATGTATTTTGCTCTGAAAGAACTAAACCTTCCCAAATCAGCAATTAGGCACAAATCTTTCTCAAACTGAGCCCATGCCACGTCCCTGAACAGGGAGAGTCACTATAAATACACAATCAACTTGCACAATGAAACTTTCTGTAATAACTGGCATTTCTGTTCACTATTTGAAATATTTGTTAATATTCATTTCAGTCAACAGTGGCAACACAGAGGTTATAGTCAGAAATATGATCAAGATCAAGATATATTTGTGTAATCTGGTGTATTTTAGTTGATTTACCTGATTAACCTGAACTCAACCTACACTGACACTGAGGCAGGAGGCCTCAGCAAAAGTGAACTCAACCTTGTTCAGACTAACAGTCCAACAGCACCATCTGTTGGCAGTAAGGGTGCAGTGTACAGTCTCACCCGCAGAGCTGCCACAGCAGCTTTTCCTTCCTCACTCTCCTCATCCAGCTCGTCGTCACTCCACTCCCAACCACCATCCTCCGTCTTGTGGAGACGGCCGCTCGAGCCAGGCACACGACGCACCTACACAATGCATAGAAAAACAAACAAAAAGGTGCAACACTTAATATTGACTCATTCGTCACACACCTCTTTCTGGTACATCCTTTTCAGAGTTGCAAGGGGCGTATCCCAGCATGCATTAGACAACAGTATTAGGCAACAAAGCGTAATGACTGTCAAACCTTTTTTGACCGCTCAGTGATTGTGGGACCTTTATATAGGAGCTTCTCCTGCAAATACTCGTTGTTCTGTAACAGAAAGACAGACATTTCTTAGAGGATCTATAAAGATTACTTTAAAAACACACCAAATATATCGGTTTATCTTTATAATAGTGACGTTAGGCTCACTTTGGCTTTTGTGAAGAATTTATGCTTCAGCAACTCAGCTGCAGTTGGCCTAAATAGGAAAAGAGACACAAGGCTCTTTATTATATTCATTACACAACTGGGGAATCTAATGGAAAGAAAAACAGATTTAATCTGGGATTAGGAGGGGAAAAAAGGATTTGGGGATTAACTGACCTTTTTTCTGGATCTTTCTGTAAACACAGGGAGAGCATCTTCCTGAAGGACTTGCCATACTTCTTCACCATTTCCTTGTCTGTGATGCCTGTCTCCAGACAAGGAGGGTCATTCTGCAAAGTCAGCATCAGCACCTACAGACACACAAAGATCAGCTTTGTCAGTAAACTGATATAAAACCAACTGTTAATTAAAATCTTATTAAAGCTACACAGTGCAGACTGGCTGGGCAGAAACAAATGGACTCCAAATGTTTCTTCATATTACATCAGCACTTCCATAATTTGCACCAGTTAGTGTAACAGGCTATAGAATTACTTATAACTGTCTTAATTTAAAGTGGACTGGTGAAATTAGAAAATTACATTGAGTTACTCAAGTAGACAGATGTAGCTTGTGCCATGAAGAGACAGAGCTGCCATACTGACATTGAGCAAAGTAGCAGTAAGTGCGCGTGTTACCTTCATCGGTGGGTATTTGTGATATGGTGCAGCCCCAGTGGCCAGTTCAATGGCTGTTATCCCAAAACTCCAGATGTCGGCTTTGAAGTCATAGCCCCGGACCTGCGGTTTAAAAACAGAACCAAGTGCTTAAGTCTTCTTTTCATCAGTTATGAGGCATTACAGAGAGAAAACAGAGGGAGAGAAAGATGCCATCTACAAAACGAGCCTCCCACCTGCTCCATGACCTCAGGGGCCATCCAGCACGGCGTCCCCACAAATGTCTTCCGAACCTTGTTCCTAGTCATGTCTCCTCCTGCTGCTAGAAAGGCACTCACACCAAAGTCTGGGGAGTGTGTGTGTGATCCACAATGTGTGACAGAAAGAAAAGAATTAGAGAAAAGCTACTTAAATTTCTTAAATATTAAGACAAACTAATCTCCATCAAAAAGTACAATGTGGGCCTTGTTTGTTCAACTAGATAATGTATCAGAGGGACGTGAAACTGTAACTATGCAGAAAGAAAATTACAAAACCACTGCAGATGCAGATAAAACAAAAACATTGTACCAGCAATTTGCACGGATCCATCTTCCCCAAGAAGAATATTTCCAGCTTTTAGATCCCTGTGTGTGAAGAGAAGGAGGGTTGAAGCATGATAAACAACTACGTTGTCACAAGTCAGTCATGCACCAACAGAGGAGTGGTTAGACTACACATACCGACTCTGAAAATGAACAAACACTCTTTACTCTTGCACACGTTAAAGCTGCACCTTTGATCTACCTCAATTTAATCCAACCTGATTTCTGTTTGCACAGACTGAGTGCAAACTATGCTGAAAGAATATGAGTGGATTAACTGGGCCTCAACCCCCTCCCTCCCCTTCCCTCTCCTTATTAGATATAAGTGAGTTAACCACAGCATCTGAGCTCAATCAGCAGCTGCCGAATGAACTGTCCACTCACACTACACTATACTGCTCCATCAGATACATTTAAAATGGAAAAAAATAAACCACCTTCCAAAATAACTTTAAAAAAAAATTTCTTTTTTTAAATAATTTGACTAAAGAAAACCTGTTTGTTAGAGACATAACAGAGACCTTAGCATGTTCATTTGAAATAATTACACTCATCCTACAGCAAGGCACAGAGGATATAGAGGCCTTTTTTGTCAGTGGTGGTCCACAGTGTTCCTGCAAGGAACTTTTATGTAAAACAAACCTCCTCAATTATGCATTTTCACTGTATTAAATATTGAAGGAGCGAGGTTCAGACCACACGCTCATATGCAGAGATGAAAGGCTCAGTGCCATAGCTGAGAAAGGAGAGTATGATGGAACATACAACTGCACTAACACAGTGCTAACAAGGCGTTGCCCTGCAACCTAACATCATTGGAGCTCACCGATGAATCTGCCCATTTTTGTGAAGGTACTCGAGCCCCTCCAAGACTTCTCTCAGGATGGAGGCGATGCTGGCCTCATCCAACACTCCGGTCTTGTGCTCGCCACGAGAGATGATATGTTTGATGATGTCCAACACTGAGCCTGAGAGAGAGGCAGAGACTTGTCACAAGACATGCTGACAGTACATGGATGGAACTCCGGTTTGGCAAGTAGTACTGAGTGGCGTCTATCTGGTAGCAGTTTGTACAGTAAACAAAACTTGCAGCTGTGTCCTCCTTTCGAGAAGCAGCAAAGTGCACCAACAGCAGCCCCCGACCTCCTAAACCTCTGGAAGAGTGCACCTGAACTTACTTTATATATACTAAAATAATGCTTTAATGCTGATGTCTGTTATTTGACAATTCCCTCACAGCTAGCAATCTATCCATAGACAGAAGTCAAAGTTGCTAATTCAAAAGGATCAGGGTCTTTGTAGATGTAAAAGGGTCAAAAAGTTAATGCTCAGAAATGTCTCAAACATTCAGAAATACTGTAAAATAATAATAGTAGGGAGAAATACGCTTCTGTGTTCTTGTGTGCTTTCATTTGACACTGACAAATATCATGTGACCAACTTTGGCTTTGTTAAACAAACTAAGGAAATGTCACAAGTCAGAGAAACTTGGCTTTACACCCACTTTTTTCCCAGAAACACAGACTCATTCATGTAATCTAGCATTACTGTTTGTAACTGTATCCCACTGATATCAGCCTTACTGTTAACCATTTGTTTGGCTGCATTCTAAACAGATACACCAGTGGCTTTGGTGTTGTATTTGAGTAGATGCTCAATGAGTGATTGCTGTAGTATTAATCAGAAAACCTGAAATGATCTCATTGTTACATCAACTTTATCTCTGGGAGTAAGAAACACAAATGGTGACCCAGAATTGCCAAGAATAAAGTCAATGACAGCAACAAGCACCACAACCACACCCTGGTGGCTTAATCCAAACATTCAGGCAAAGAAAAGTAAGGAGGTCTGACACAGAAAGTCAAGTCAAAGTCAAGGTGAAGATAAGAGTTAGCAAAGTCAAGTCCAAAGCCATGTTCCTTTAATCATTAAAGCACTTACCACCACTGAGCAGCTTCATCACCAGCCACAGTTCATCCTTCACCACAAAGGAGGTATAATAAGACACAATGTTCGGGTGGTGGCACTGGCTCATAGCCTGGATCTCTTTCTGCACCGAGAAGAAAATACAGGACGCAAGGTCATACAGGGAGCAGAAATGTTGCGGTACAAAGCAAAGCACTAACTAAATATTTATATTACAGTTTCCGTGACAAACTGAAGTTCAGTCATACTGTGTCTTAAGGAGGATTTGATCTTTTGATGTAAACTTAAGTCTGTAAAATCTAACTGAAGAGCAGTTTGAATTAGACAAGCCAATCCCTGCTATCACTCTTCCCCCACTGTCAACCTGTCTTAAACCAGTAGTGTGCTGTGCCTGACTGCAGACAGTGGAGTAACCTGGGTTACATCACCAGTGAGCCACCAAGCCAAGACATTTTTAACCTAGATGGCAGATTAAGGTGGATTCAGGACCTTGATATATTATGTAATGACTGGGTAGGTAGGTGGAAGTCCTGGGAGATAGGGGAATGTAATGAAATATTTACATCAGATAGCAAATGTTGTAATGTGGATATTTGACAGTCCTTGAAAGGCAATAATATTGCTGGGGTGAGGTTGAAATGATTGATGCTAAGTCATCTCTCAGACGTTCTACCTTAAGTTTCATTTTCTCGTCCTTTATTCCCTCTGCTGCACAGGTGAAACAACAAAGCACATTTGTAACTGTGGGGCACAGCTGGCTGATAATGGAATATATATATAGACCATGAGATGATAGAGACAACCAATGCAGATTTTTCTATACCGATTCTACAAAATAAAGTCTCTTTAATATTTGTGATTATAATAGACCTGTGTGGGGAACAAAAAGCTAATTACTTGACATTTGCATCAATGTGATTAATTACCTATCAACTCATTTCAAACTATACTGGATAAAATGTGTCCAACAGGTGATTATGAAAACAAACCTCAGCCTGCTGTTAGTGTGCTTTTTCCACTCACACAATTGAACCTGATTGTGACTGATTTGGCTGTTTATCTTGGGAAGAGTAAGGTTTTCGTTTAGTCAGATATTGCGACATGCTGTGAAGATTAGTTACGAGAAAGCGAACACAGTGTGACAGATGAATAAATCCCCTCCAGAGGTGAGTCAGAAAGAGCCTGACGTGTCTCAGCTCATTTGGAATCCAGTTACAGATAAGTATTTGAACAGTCCCCTCACATTCACATCATATGACATCATTAAATACACAGCATTTGCACATTTATTTCCCCCAAAGTAATTGGAATTGAATTTTGATTTTATTAAAATGTAATAATTTCTTCTCACATTAGCGGAGTTGCTCTGGATTTCAGGCGAGGTGGGATTCCTCTACTATAAAATGCTGCAAGACACCCTGAACTACTGTATCACAACATATACTGTAAATGCAATATAAAATTACAGAGATTTTAGTGCCTGCACCTACAGTGTTCACCAGAGTTTAGTTTGTCAGCCAATCACATGGTGGGATCACAAAATATTTATACATAAAGATTGACTGATTTTCTTTTTATGTTGTTCCATAGTTTAACTATCTTTTGCACATTTATCTCTAACCCATTAACAGGCTTTCTGAAAGGCTGATAACTAGGGGGTAATGAGCTACATAACAGTGGTGCAGTGTGTGTAGGCTTATCTCGTCGAGTGTTTGCAAAACAGCAACATTCAAAACTAAAATAATGTGAAGGAAACATTATTTCAGTGCTCATCAAGGTAAACATTACTGCACAGGAACATTACATTATTAATTCACATTGAACTTGTCTTTATGATGTGTCTTAGTGATTTCACCCAGCTCTTGTACTCAGTGGTTGTTGTGGTATCAAGCTTTTGATCAGGCCTTGACTGATCTGACCCCGCCAACCCACACATAAAGAACATCTGGACTGCAGATACTGGCCCACACATTGCGACAGTTTCCTACCAGGAGCTCATCCATGCTAGTTTGACACTTTTCCAGGTTGATGCGTTTGATAGCCACCTTCTCCTTCCTCGGCTTGCAGTATGCTGCCTGGACAACTGCAGTGGCTCCGCTCCCTGGAGGTAAATAACATTAAGAGTGAAACCATCATCACACTGTGGGAGCAGAAGAGCCTTTGACTTTAGAAGACAGCAGTCAGAATATGACTGCTCAACTAAATCTTTTGAGAGCGATGTGAGAAGGTGCAAAATCTGAACAGAAACTAGTTTCCTAGATTGGGGACTAAGGTCATTTACAGTATTAATATAATTTATCTATCCAAATTTAACTGAATTACAGAAAACTGCAGTTAAATACCACAGCAGACAAACTCCCTTGTTCAGAATAATCAGTCACGTTACCTAGACTAAAGTATGAGTATGTCTCAGTATAATCCGTGTCATACCTTCAGCAAAGGGAGCACCACCCTCTCCAACAACTCACGAATCTTCACGCACTGTAGGCTAACTTCTTAGCTAGCCGCTTAGCTTCGAGCTGACGTGCTAAGAAGCTATCTCACATTAGCTCACCAACTAGCAGAAACCGATAATCAGTTTGGCCTAGCTAGGGGTGGGGGGGACTGTGCAGAGCTGTTAACCTTCCTGCCATGTAGCTACGGGTTGTAACTGGCCTTCTGTTAGCTCCAGACATGCAATGCTAGCTGGCTAATAGCAGTTGGCTGCCGACACCGCTGTGGAGACTGTGGGAGGCTAGGATGCTAACTTTAGCAAACTAAGCTACTCACCTATCACCTCATTGAGTTCGTAGTCATCCCTGTCGATTGACCAGGATTGAGAGGACTGGTCGTCTGCCATCGTGTCGTTGTTTAAACGGTGTAAACAATGTTTCTAAATAACAACAGAGACGCTGTCTGGAATAATATCTTTGTGATTAGTTACTCCATTCGTCTCCGGTGATGCTGGCTGCCGCTGTTCCGCTGACAACTCCTGACGCTCCTGACGCTCCTGTCAACACAAGTTTACGCGCGACCGACGCTTTACGTACGAGCTCAGTAGGAGGCATAGAGATGTCGCCATCTTGAGTGTGGCAAGTTCTGCCAAACGTCTGTAAAATCAAAAAAACTCGTCAACAGAAATCATATTGAGGTGGACCCCAGTAATGAGTTATAGTTTATGGACCATGGCATGCGGGTTTAGTTAAAAATATTTGAACCTTTAGACAACACATACGCTATTTTTACACTCCGTACCTGTAAAAGTGTGCACAGTAAATCCAATAGAGGGCGCTAATGCCTCTACTAACTATGGGCCTTTTGTAGTTTTCTTTCTTGCACACCTTTTTGCTCATTGGTGCACAGTTACATTTGAAAGGCCTATAGGAAATAACATAGAAATAGTCAAAGTCCTGCATTCAAAATGTTACTAAAGGAGCAAAAGTATAAGTATTCATGATGCAGAATGGCCTCTGGATCATCATTAACTTAAACATGTAATCAGTACGCAGTAGTGCAACTGGTCTTTTTTCACAGCAGTCATTTTGACATGAAATAGTAGGGTAAACACAGGTGTTACTAATAATACTAATTAAGGTTCTGTTCCATTCAGTGTAGCAGAGTCTTTCCAGTGAGCCAACATGCACAATAGCAACACACTGACTCTGTTTGTCCTGAATGGAACAGATCCTTAATTAGAATCAATGGTAACATCTATGTTTATCTTACAATTCAATTTAATTAGTCAAAATGGCTGCAGTGAAAAAGTTCTATTTTAACTGATTTAAGTAATGCTGGGTAGTTTTATAAACTTAATCTGTGTTGTATGTAAAATCTTAAAAAGTGAGTATTAACCTTATAGCTGTTAATACAGTAAGAAAGTACAGTGGGCTATTTCCCTATGAAATGTAGTGGAGTATAAATATTAAGAAGCATAAAATGGAAATGTTCAAGAAAAGCACAAATACTTGAAAATTATACTTGAACGTAAGTAAATATACGTTGCGACATTCTGCCTTGCACACGGATACTGTATGTTTAAAGTTTATTTGTTAATCTTTCAGTCTACATGTTGAAATGTGGAACTTGCAAAGAAGTTATGAAAAGCAGATGTGCAATGCTAGAAACTCGACCGACTGCAGTATTCATCACTCAGTGTAACTGCTTTGGGCGGTATCCTTTGGTAACCCAGGAATTGCATAAAGTCACTGAAGCAGTGCCTTGAGATATGAGGATGTTTTGGGCAAAAGCAAAACTATGGATGGTATCAGTGGTATGTGAGGAAACAGTGGGGCCTGTTCATGCTTGTTGAACAGGCACAGACAACAAGGAGAGACACAGACTCTCACAGGCAGGAGATGTGAGGTACTACTTTATGTTTACAGCGTTTTCAATTGAACATATAAGTTTTATATGTTGCATTCCACGGCACTTGAACCAAGTTCACTGATTTAACTAAAGTCACACTGCTTGGTTTCATGATTTAAATACACACAAACCTTTGCTGCAAAAGGACTTTCCTGGACTCAATATTTTTTACAAAAACAATAAAAACACAAAAAAACCCACAACTAGTTTGGCTATGCAGCTGGTCAGAGGATGGCTAATACTTAATGGTTATTCCCCATTAGGAGTTTTGTTAATAGAAATCTAGGATATATTGATAAGACTGTAATTTAACATAACTCTGAATCACCACTGCCTTCTATTATCATTGGAATGTGTTCTTTATTGTTTAATAAGCACATGTTTTAAGTTAAACTAAGTTGCTAAAGGAAAGAAAGTAAGGGAAATATGTACACTCTCTCCTGCCTCATTGGTTACTTCAAGATGCCCTTGAGCAAGAAACCTGAGCCCAGGTGGCTCATGTAGAGCACAGAAGCTCCTAGATGAAGGTGTGTAAGTGTCTGAAATGTGAAACCAAGACAAAATGCACATTTTCCTGCACATGTTTTCTTCCGTTTTAGTTTCTTATGCATTTAAGAAAACAACCTACTTCTTTTGTTCTCAAACATGCATCCAGACCCACAAAGCTAAAGACAATGTTGCACTCTGTTTCCCAAAACCTCGTGGAGTTTGGAGGTGGTCGGTCCTTGCCCGGAAGCTCTCCCCCCCCGATGCTGCATTAAAGCTCACTCATCCTGATGCTGACAGTGCGGCGAGGGTAAGCCAGGCCTGAAAGGGAAGTGCTGAGAGCCACAAGAGCCCAAGCGCACCAGTGATTGCAGTGCTATTATCCTGCCAAGGCTAAGCTCCACATGAAAAGGAATGCAAAAAAACTTCATCTGTCCCATTCAGTGAAACCAATATGCTCAAGCTCACTGTCAACTATGTGGAAGGGCTTCAAGCCAACTGTGCTGTTCAGCCTTCTTGGTCATGTTTACTCTGTGTTCAAATGAGGAACAGGTGTCCTTGTGAAAACACAGTTGACTAAGACTTTAGCGGAAGTCAACTATAGACACAAAAAAAGAAAAAAAACAATAATATTTCCACACTGTGTAAATATAACTTCTAAAACCTGATTACAGTATATTGAGGTTTATGGGTGCTTTCTCAGGTTAATGTCCCCTCCCTGTTTATTCACACATCTAAGGTTACCTCTAGGTGAGGAATGTCCCTGAAGTGTTTTAGAAAACAGGATCATAGACATTTTTCACATTTTTGGCCACAGGTGCAAAAACCAACTGATAATGTGACATGATACAAATGTTAAGTCAACCTGTATGTTAAAAAGTCCCATGCCTGATGGCAAAAGCTGGTGTTTAAGGTGTAACCTAGCAGTGACATCAGCACTGTTGCTCACATGGCAGGCTTGTCAAACCGGTGTTGGAGGCTGCAAGAGCACTGACACCATTCAGACCAGGAGAAATCCACCTGTGTCGCTGCCTTAGGTGTGCTGGGCTCGCTCTCGGTGTAAATAATCTCAGACCCAGGTTTTCGTATCGAGTTGCGCACATGGGAAGAAGGAGAGGCAACTTTAGATGAAACTGTGCATAAAGTGAAACAAGAAAAGAAGAGACCCTACTGCGTGAAGAAGAGATAGGACTCAAAGAGGATGGAAACAAACGGGATCGAGAAAAAAAACGGTAGGACACATTTTGGAGTCAATTAAAGTGCGTCTTACAGTCCGCAGGCGACAGGGGAAACATTAACTCATTTATATTCCACTTTAATTGTTGAAGTCTTAACTTGTTTCTCCGCTGACTGCGGGCATTTACTGCACTGGGCGATATATGAGCACCTGTAGACTTTTAAACATTCGTTTATACTCTGCCAAAAGGTGTGGCCCCTTTAATCCTGCCTGTACCTTTCTGCGGACAGAAACAGTGTTTTGCCCAAATCCAAACTGCGCACAGCCGACACAGAAAACTAACAACCGCTAAAAATAAGCGCTGTTGTCAAGAGGACACATTCCTCTGTTAGCATTCAATGCGTGTGGACCTGTTTTTAGCACGTAGCCTGTATATTTATTTTAATGAGTTAACCCGGTCGGGTCGATTTAAAATCACAGCAGCCAACAGTACCGCGACGGCGCCGCTAGATGGAGCCATTGAGTCAGTAATGTCACTACACTGAGCGAGGCTGTAACGTTCAACCTTACAGGAACTAATCAAATGTATTGTTACAATATATTACAATTATTATATATATATATATATATATATATATATATATATATATATATATTACAATTATTATATATATATTACAAGAATTATTAACATTATATTTAAACACCCCATTTAAATTGAATATTTCCACTTAGCCACATTTAAAATGCATTACCCTCTGACTTTACACCAACTTCATTGCTTTTATTTTGCTAACTACCTAATTAACTACATCTAATAGTATTAGCTAGCGGCTAAAATAATGCACCTATAGTGAAACATGTGTTCATTAGCTCCACTGCCTGGTTATTATCTATAGAAAGAAAATGAGTGGTCATCTAATTTTCACAAATATCCAGTGAAATGATAAAATACAGCAACAGTTAGCAGACATGGTTTGAACCTCCCGCTGCCGCCCTGTGTGGAAGCTTACACGTTGTCGGTGAGGCGGCTGAGGTGTCTGAGGTCTGTCAGCTGACTGCCTGTAGGGAGTCCAGACAGAGGTGAGAAGTGAACTTTGAGTGGGGCTGGTACACGCCCTTCCACACACTGGTCTGTCCCCGACGACTCGTTGACAGTGTGCTAGTTATTCCGCAGCTCAGGGCACCATGGCATGCCTGCAGAGACAAACACAGCTCAGCCGATCTGAGGAAATGCTCGACAAAGCCAGAAGCCAGAAGGTTGTACAAAAGAACGCGAAGATCCTAGGTAGGCGGAGGTAGTTTCAGTCTATCTTGTAGGAGATGTGGCCAAAGGGTCATGCAGGGTCGGGCATGCTTTGTTGCTGCATAGCCTTGGTTGCCCGATTTGGCTTTGTGATTTTAGGCATTCACTCTTTTCATGGAGTTTTCTGATGAGATGGAAGCAGGTTAAGGAGGAGGCGAGGGGGGGGTCAAAGGTCTGAGTCAAAATTGGGATCAGCTCAGTAGGTTTGATGTGTTGGAATGGCACTCTGCTCCTCTGTTTTCACAGGTATGGAGGGCGATATGGACCTCCAGTTCCTCCTGCAGGGGGGAGACCTCCTCAAGGTCCGCTCCTCGTCCTGGAAGAAGACCCGCTACTTCAAACTCCAGGAGGACTGCAACACCATGTGGCACGAATCCAAGAAAACCTTCAAGACAAACCAGACCTGTGAGTGCTGTCCCAGCATCCCAAAAGCATGTGTGTGAGACCCACCTGCAAAACTCTTGCATGCATTTGTCTGGTGCTGGATACATGTCCCCCACCTCTATTGCTTATCATCCATTTGAGTGTCCAGTGATGATACGACTATAAACTCGTCTACGATATCTCGACTTAGCTCAGGTGGATTTCTCTTTCATGGATTATAAAAGTGGACAGATAGAGCCATAAAAAGTCATTGTGTTAGAAAGATCGTTGTATTATCGCACACAACTGGGTTGTT